GTCATAAGCAGAGTCACACAAGACAGTATAATGGCGGGGATGGAGAAAATCAGATCCGATCGCAGTTCGTCTCTTGTTTTTTCCGTCCAAGCCGCCGGAACTGGTCGTTCGTGGGAACAGGAAGGGAATCAACATGCTCAACCAAAATAAGCGAAAAAGACAAGTCAATACCACTGGAAGGTACATCCCAAAGGTCATGCCAGAATTGTTCACGCGCTGCGAGGTGATGTTCTGGAGTGCCAACCGGCGGAGCGTCACGCGGTGGGTCGCGCATCTTCTGGAACGGAGCCCAAGGAGTTCGTCCTTTGATGAACTTGCGCGCTGCAGAGGCTCCATCGGCAGTCACCGCCTTGAGAGCCCAACGTGTCCAATATTCATGTCGGCGAGCAGCAGCCGACGTTTCAGCGGCTTCTGCAAGACCAGCCACCTGATTGCACAAACACTGGAGCGCCTCAGCGGACATGAACGGAATGCAACTGACCTGTGCGCGCCACCAGGGCCACTCAGCTGGAACGGCCACCTGACGTTCTGGAGGACGAAATCGAACAAGGGAACTAGCAGACGAAGCAAAGCCAAACCACCGCTCCAAAGAGGCGAGGTAAATCAAACCAGCAATCTCGGAGGCTAGATGACGCCAGATGCGCTCAATAGCCGACGACAGCGGTCCGCCAGGAAAAAGTGTTTGATATCCAACTCGAAGCGTGGACGGGTGGACCCGTACCTATCAAGATCACGTTGACGAGGTGCTATATGATACACACCAATAAGCTCGACAGCCGCCGTGCTGATCCAACGGCCAGTACATCCATCGAGCTCTTGTATATCACGTATGGGGTCAGCATGAGCAAGCCAATCGTAGTCAGGAGGAGCAGGATCACAGCCAATCGGCCGATCAATGGGAAGACGAGGGGGCTTCCGAAAAATCGTGACCATGGCGTGCTTGAGGGGCCCGCGTACCACCAGCGCAACCGGATTGCGCTTGGGAGTTAGCGTAGATGGGATTACCCTGACAATAGCATGGCCAATGAAAGCTGGATGCACAACAAAATAATCAATAGTTGAAGATGTACCACCACTTTCATATGTAGCAGTATCAGGAGCAAGGACGCGGCCGTTGACAAGGGTAAGAAAGCCAGTGCCGACGAGATCGGCAGGAGACATGTTCCAATCAGCAGAAATAATGCACGGTGTACCCAAGCTCCTGACGAGAGCCGCTACTTGGAACAACAGCTGGTAGTTTCTGGCGTCGGCGTCCAGGCCTGTATAACAATACAGATTGATCCAAGGAATGCCATTGGGAATCACACCATGCCAAAGTCGGAAAACGCAGCGCTCGCTAGGCGGAGCGACGACCTGAGGTCCCAGGACCAGGGGAGAGAAAGAGTGGGCCCAGCGAGATAATAAGCCGACCCCAGCAGAAAAACCACCCAAGTCCGTATCAACAGAATGGTGAAGATGAGCATGAAAACCTTTAGCGTTTGCACTAGCCACGGAGCTTTCAATGTGCACAGGGCCCCGCAAAAAAACTCCTGGATAGCGAGACCATCAAAGTCCACAGAAGCTGCCAGATCAAGACAATGAGACCAAGTAGTAATGTTGGCCGTGAGCAACAGCCATTCCTTATGGGTCTTCCTCCTACGACGGGAACTGCCACTAGGGCGCTTGCGGGGGCTACCCCCCAGACCCCCTATTGCGCGAGGGGCCACCAGAATCAGGGGAAGGAACCGAGTCCTGCACGCGGCGACGATTTTTACGCTCCCACTCAGAGGTGTCCACTTCGGGATCGGAGGGGCCCCCAGCTTCGCTGAATTCCTCATCCCCCAGGTCCTCGTCCAGATCGTCGCCCTCCATGTTGAACGCCGCGAACCGATTCTGACGAGCTCCATCCGGTTCATGATCGTCCGCGACATGAGGTGCAGCAGAATGCTCGCGAGCACGAAACCGACCTGCACCTTTGCCCTTCATACCGCGTCCTCTCCCACGGACCCGCCAAGGCCCACCTGGGGCCACCGGGGGAGGTGCCTCCTTCAGGCGTCCCTCCAAAACCGCTAGCGCGGCCGTCAACTCAAGATCTTCTTCCCCGTCCCCGCCCGCTTGCTCAAGACGGAGGCGGAGAAAGGCAAGGTCAGGGTCCGAATCAGGTGGGGGAGGCAAGGGGTAGTCTTTACGAAGCTCCTCTTGCTTAGCTTCCCAGTCCTTCAGGTCCAGCTCCAGGGTGTCGCGCTTCATGCGGAGGTTGTGGATCCTTTCGTCGCAATCGTTGGCCTTGGCCAACGCCTCGTCCCGGATATCGGTAGTGTCCTGGATAGCTTTGTCAACTTTGGCAAGTTTAAGCTGAACCCAGTGAGCCCTCTTGGCCGCCCGCTCAGACTGGACGGGAGGAGGCAGCAAGCTAGACTTAGCGGAGCGATGAGCATGGAGACGACTTTTGGTGGTACGTATCAACTCGTCAAGAGTACCCCAAGAGGGCCCTAAGAGGGGCCCAACATGGAGACCACGAACCGAGAATCCGAGCCTTCCGCTCCAAGAGGCCTCCTGGAGGCTCCAAGAGGCCCCCAAGAGGCCCCAAAAGGCGACAAGGGGCCCGAAGAGTGCAAAAAGGAAACTGCAGAATGTTGTCGTGTTCCCTGCGATCGTATTCACGAGCCGCCACCTTCCGAAACAGAAGGTTCAGGCGGGCAATGAATGGTTCCCGCCTGCGAAATCACCCAAAGCCAGCCATCCATAAACAAAAAAACGACCCAACAACACCCCATTGACAACGATCACACGGGCACTCGACAGCCGTGCACCGATACGGGCCGGCGGAATGAGCGAAGCGATTGAATAATCAGCATCATCATCGTCGTCATCATCAGCAGCAGCATCATCATCAGTATCATCATGATAATCACCGTGGTCATCCTCATCATCAGCAGCCGCATCATAATCATCGTCAGCAGCAGCAGCAGCATCATCCTCATCCTCATCAGCACCATCGTCATCACGGGCATCTTCACCAGCATCAGCATCATAATCATCAGCATCAGCATCAGCATCTGCAGCAGCAGTAGCATCAGCAGCATCATCATCAGCACCAGAGTCGTCGTCATCAGCTTCATCATCGTCATCAGCAGCAGCATCAGCATCAGCATCAGCACTATAATCATCAACATCAGCATCAGCATCAACATCACCATCGTCGTCGTCGCCGTCGCCGTCATCATCATCATCATCATCATCATCATCATCATCATCATCGTCATCATCATCATCATCATCAGCATCGTCATCATCATCATCATCAGCAGCAGCAGCATCAACATCATCAGCATCAACATCATCATCATCATCATCACCATCACCACCATCATCATCAGCAGCAACAGCATCATCATCAGCAGCAGCGGCATCATCATCACCATCAGCATCATCATCAGCAGCATCACGATCAACAGCATCACCATCAGCAGCATCATCGGCATCACAACCCTCATCAGCAGCATCAGCATCAGCATCACCGTCATAAGCATCAGCATCAGCATCAGCATCGTCGCCATCATCACAATCACCCCCATCGTTAGCAGCACCGCATCATCCCCTTCTTCAGCATCAGCATCAACATCATCATCAGCATCATCATCCGCAGCATCATCTTCGTCGGCGTCAGCATCGTCAGCATCATCAGCATCATCAGCATCATCAGCATCATCAGCATCATCAGCATCATCAGTTCCATCAGCATCATCAGCATCATCATCAGCCTCATCATCATCATTATCATCGTCATCATCAACATCATCATCATCATCATCGTCGGCGTCGTCATCGTCATCGTCATCACCAATATCATCAGCAACAGCATCATCATATCATTATCATCCGCATCAGCATAGCATCATCATCACCGTTAACATCAGCATCATCATCAGCATCATCATCAACATAAACATCCAAATCATTCTCTTCATCCCCCAACTCCTAGTCATCATCAGCATCAGCTTCAGCATCATCACATTCACCGTCATCCGCATCATTATCAACATCTCCATTAACAACATCGACAACAGCATCGGCATCTCATCAGCATCATCGCCACCACCACCACCATCATCATCATCAGCGCCATCATCGGCATCATCAGCATCATTATCATCATCAGCAGCAGCATCGTTGATATCATCAGCATCATCATCAGCAGCATCGTCATCATCAGCATCGTCATCATCATCATCATCATCATCATCATCATCATCATCATCATCATCATCACTCCTCATCATCAGCAGCGTCATCGTCATCGGCAGCAGCATCGTCATCATCATCAGCAGCAGCAGCAGCATCAGCATCATCATCATCAGCATCATCGTCATCATCATCGTCATCAAGAGCAGCATCACCAGCATCAGCATCAGCATCATCATCATCATCATCATCATCAGCATCATCACCAGACTCATCATCACCAGACTCAGCATCCCCTCTCCTTCCTCATCGTCCAGATCCCCTGAAAACACAATCCCCGTGGACGCCCAGAAAACAAGCGAACACCCCGAAACCCCGATACGCGTAGGTACGCATCTGCATCCTCCACCTCCTCCGCCTCCTCCTCCTCTGGAGCATCATCATCATCATCATCATCAGCAGCATCATCGTCATCATCATCGTCATCATCATAATCACCACCACCACCATCATCATCAGCACCATCATCAGCATCATCAACGTCATAATCAGCATCGTCATCAGTATCGACATCATCATCAGCAGCAGCATCAGCATCAGCATCAGCATCAGCATCAGCATCATGATCATCATCATCATCATCATCATCATCATCATCATCATCATCATCATCATCATCATCATCATCATCATCATCGTCATCATCATCACCACCACCACCACCACCATCCCACCTCCTCCTCCTCCTCCTCCTCCTCCTCCTCCTCCTCGGTCGAGGAGGCGAAAGTGGAGCCAGGAAGGCCAAAGGCAGAGCCATGGCCGGGCCGCGGCGTCACCGGACGTTGTTGTAATCGCCGAGGGCCAGAGCGACCTTCTGGATCTGGTTGGCCAGCTCACGCGTCGGCGCGAGGATCAGGCCCTGGCCGAGGAGAAGGAGGAGGAGGAGGAGGAGGAGGAGGAGAAGGGTCAGGAGGAGGAAGAGGGGGAGAAGGCAAGGACGAGGGATGACGGGAGAAGGGAGAAGGAGGGGAGGAGCAGGGGAGGAGGGAGGGAGGGGAAGGGGAAGGGGAAGCCGAAGCGGAAGCGGAAGCGGAAGGGGGAGGGATGAGGGAGGGAGGGAGGAAAAGCTAGGAAAAACCGAAGGTCTGAAGTTGAAGAATGTCTGCAGCGGAGTGAACCCCAGCAGGGAAGCCCGATACCCCAGCGTCGATCGGACCCGCAGGGACAGGGGTCCCAAGCGGTCGCAGAAAGTAGGGAGGGAGGGAGGGAGGACAAAGGGGAAGAGGAGGAGGACAAGGAGGAGGAGGAGGAGGAGGAGGACGAGGAGGAGGAACGAGGAGGTGTGAGGAGGGACTGGAGGGAGGGAGGCAGGAGGAGGATGAGGAGGAGGAGGAGGAGGAGGAGGAGGGGCAGGGGGCCACACAAACAACGGACACGAGTTTCTTGGATCGGCGCTGGACCACTCCTCCCTGGTGCGCGGAGCGCGCCAGGGGCGGCGCCTGAGGCGCCGCCAGGGGAGCGGCCAACGCCGATCCGCGGACCTCAGAAAAGTTTTTGCTCATGTCAAGTGTTCCTTTTCGACTCGGGGATGCCGGGACGACCTTCCACCTCCCCAGGACAGTCGCTTCTGTACCGCACTGGTGGGAGACCCCCGTCACCAAGGGCGCTGCCCCCTGCAACCGCATGCTGAGGTGCAGTCGCGGGTTGGAGTGCAGGGCTGCTCTGAGACGGCAACGCGACGACGACGACGACGACGACGACGACGACGACACACGCAGCGACAAGCGTGCCAACCTGGAACAGCCAGCACGTGCCCAGCACGAGAGGGACTCGCGCGGAGAAAACCGCTCGCTCCGAATGCGCAGTGGGCGGCGAATACCGTCGGGCCACGGATACTCGGGTCGACACAGGGCCACGCGGCACCCATCCACGCCCCACACCAGGCTACCAGGACGCGCTGCATACATCCGTCGAGGGCTGGAGAAGCACGGCGCGAGCCCAAAGTGGGCAATGAGCTACATGACGCCGCAAGGCCCCAACGCTGAAGGGGTGTTGCAGGGCGCTGGGGTCGTTTGGGATATCGCCTGGGGGGGGGGTCGAGTGGGAGCAGCACAAAATCAGCGACACCACGCCTGCGACTGACAACGGGGAGGAGGAAGATATGTCCAGGCGACGAACGGGGGGGGCGTCGGAGGTGCCGCGGTCCTGGCACGCCTTCAGGTTGTAGTCGATCCTTTGCAACACTCCGATCACGAAGGTCGCGGTCTTGCCCGTCCCGGACTGCGCCTGGGCGGGCTTTCTGGAGCCAGCGTGCAGCGATCACAACAAGAAACGGCATTAGAACAAGTAGGAGGAGGAGGAGGAGGAAAATAAAGGAAACGAGAGGATAATGACGAATATACAGCGAGAGAGAGAGAGAGAAAGAGAGAAAACAAAAAAGAGAGATGATGAGAATGGAAAGGAAGGCGGGGATGAAATCATGAAGAAGATGGAGCGAGAGACAAAAACAGATGGTGAGAGAAAGGGGGAGAGAGAGAGAGAGAGAGAGAGGGAGAGAGGAGAGAGAGAGAGAGAGAGAGAGAGACAGAGACAGAGACAGAGACAGAGACAGAGAGAAAAAAGAGAGAAAAGAGAGAGAGAGAGAAAGGGAGAGAGAGAGACAGGGAGAGGTGGAACAAACAAATCCGCTGACTCCTTGTGGGTCTCTAGGCGCGTGAGATTATCCCCCCCTATAATCCCCCTCCAGGGACCCCAAACCGACAATTTGACCCCCCCCCTGGGCCGAGCGCGACCCCGGACCAAACGCGTCGCGGGGGAGCGGAGGGCTCCAAAACTGACCAAAAAGGCACCAAAACGCTCCCCAGACGGTCCCAGGGGGCCACGATTCGCCGACAGATCGCCCCTGGACGCCCACTCCGGCCTCCAGGCGGCCTCCGAAGCTGCCAAGGCGCCCCAAGAGGCCCCCAAGATGCGCCCCAAGAGGGCCCCAAGAAACAAAAATCGCCCCATCCCCTTCGAAAAACAAGCATGTGTCGCATGCTCGCCTATTCGGTTTTCACAAAGTCGCAGACGGGCAAACAAACCTTCAACATCGCCCCCAAACGGCCAAAGCGGGCCCCAAAAAGAGTCGAAGAAGGCCCAACAACAGCCCACGAAGTCCCCAAAACAGCCCAAGAGACCCCCCGACGGCTACAAGACGGAGTCCAGAGGCACCTTTTCGAGCCTTCGGCCCCAAAACGCCCCCGGCATGCTCCAAGAACACCCCAGAAGGCCCTGAGGGACCCCCAAGAAAACCTCCGAGGCCTCCAAGAAGCCGCAAGAAAGCCACCAAAAAGCACCACAACTACCTGCAAAACGACCCCGTCAGGCCTCCCACGAGATCCCATCAACCATCCGTGTGGCCGCATACCCGCAACCGAAGCGACGAAAAACGCACTGACCACGCAGCATCCCTCCACCATCTGACATTGGCCCCGCCTCCAGAGCGTTCCGAAAAGACCCGCGAAGCACCCATGAGATTCTGACACCCTACCAAGCCAGATTGGACCAATGGCCATGACAAATTGCACGGTCCAAACACCTGTACAGGGTCTCGAGATCCAGGGTGACGCACACGATGTCGGACGTGTCGAACATCTTTCCGAAAGGCCACCAGAGACAGGAGTACACGCCGCCAAACCAAATCGTCACTCCTCCTTTTCCTCCTCCGACCCCCCATAATCCCCCCAGGGACCCCAAACCGACAATTTGACCCCCCCCCCCTGGGCCAAGCCGCCCGACCCCGGACCGAACGCGCCACGGGGGAGCGGAAGGTTCCAAAACTGACCAAGAAGGTACCAAAACGCTCCCCAGACGGTCCCAGGGGGCCGCTATTCGCCGACAGATCGCCCCTGGACGCCCACTCTGGCCTCCAGGCGGCCTCCGAAGCTGACAAGGCGCCCCGAAAGGTCCCCAAGATGCGCCCCAAGAGGGTCCCAAGAAACAGAAATCGCCCCATTCCCTTCGGAAAACAAGCATTTGTCGCATGCTCGCCGATTCGGTTTACATCAAGTCGCAAACGGGCAAAGAAACCTTCAATATCGCCCCCAGACGGCCAAAGGGCCCCCAAAAAGGACCGAAAAGGGTCCAACATCAGCCCACGAACCCCCCAAGACAGCCCAAGAGCGCCCGCAAACGGCTCCAAGACGGAGTCCAGAGGGCACTTTTTCGAGCTTTCGGCCCCAAGACGCCCCCAGCCTGCCCCAAGAACATGCCAAGAGGCCCTAATGGACCCCCAAGAGGACCTCAAAGGCCTCCAAGAAGCCTCCAGAAGTCCCCAAGAAGCCTCCAAACTTGGCCCAAGATGCCTCGAGGCGGCCGCATATGGCCTGCAGACAGGCCAAGATGCCACCGAAAGGCAACACAAGAGCACCAAGAGGTACATTAACAGCAACGAAACAACAGGAACGATGTCGAGCGCCGTGTCATGATTCGGACAAGCCTCGTGAAATGCAGTCCCGGAGGCGCAATAGTTTAAATAGGGGTCGGCGGATGTGGCGTAAGCCTATATGCAGACCCTTCGGCGCGTGTGTGAGACGCTGTCGTCGTCGTCGTCGCCAGCCCCAAGGAAATTCAGAGACGAACAAAGGAAAGAAACGTCGTAATCAAGTCGATTCCATCCTTTCCTCCCTCTCCTGACGGGGAGGGGGATACGGAGGGGGGCGGCTACGGGGGGGGAGGCCGAGCCAGATTACCGGCCCCCCTGCAGGGTCCCGGCGCCCCCCCCCCCCGTACCGCCCCCACCGGGGTCCAGGCGGGTCCCGGGGGGGGGGGGGGCGCCAGCGGCGGTCCCCAGGGAGGTCCCACCTTCAGACAGCACAGGCCAGCAGGCCATCACAATACAAACAAAAAGTTAGCGAGGAGAGGAAGAGAGAAGGAGAGAGAGACACAGAGAGTGTGTGTGAGAGAGAGAGAGAGAGACAGACAGAGAGAGAGAGAGAGAATGACCGAGAAAAAAGGACAGGGATATAAAGAAAAATCACATTACTGAAAAACCAGGGACAGAAAGAGAGAGAGAGAGAGCGAGAGTGAGAACGATGATGCGACTGAGAGAAAGAGAGAGAGAGAGAGAGACAAACAAACAAAGAGAGAAAGTGGAGGGAAGGAACAGACCATCACGGAAGGCGAGACTTGGCGGTTGCGGCGCAGTGCCCCTCGCCTGGCCGATCGTGTCGCGGCCGTCGAGGATGGGTTTGATCCCGCGCTGCTGGATGGCGCTGGGCTTCTCGAAGCCGTAGGAGTAGATGCCTCGTCTGCACCGCTCTGCGTGCCCCGCCGCCCTCCCCCGCCCCCCGCCCCTGGCGGCGCGCCAAAAAGGGGGAGGAGGAGGATGATGATGATGAGGAGGAGGAGGATGAGGAGGAGGAGGAGGAGGAGGAAGAGGAGGAGGAGGAGGAGAAGGGGGAGGAGGAAAAGGGGGAGGAGGAGGGGGTGGAGGAGGGGGAGGGGGAGGAGGACAAGCTAATTAGGTGCGCTCGCGTCAAATCTGACATCCTACCCCTCCCTCCCATCCCTTACCACGGCGCAAATCCCCTTTCTACTCGGTCAGTCGGATGTCGAGCAGGGCAATGATCCCAAAAGGGCACGCGATGCATTGTAGAGCACGGCATGGCATGGCGTAGAAGAGCACCGCGAAACATAGTATCAACCAAACATTGCATTGCATGCCGTGGCATGGCACGGGAAATGACGCCAGCGCTGCAGCACGAGCCGAAACGAGCGGAAGCGCGGAAATGAGGCCAACACTGCAGCGGGAGCACGATTCGGAACGAGCGGAAGCACGCCAGAATCGGCCCGGGAGGCTTCCCGGGCGCCAGAAGCAAAAATTCAGCATTTTCCACAAAAAAAAAAAATGTGTACTGGAATGGCCTTTTTTCAGCGCCGCCTCGGAACTCGATTTTCCGGCGCCGGCCAAACCCGGCTCCGGACCTGGCCCGGGCGCCAGTCCGGGCGCCGGCTCGGGCGTCTGGCCCGGGCGCCGGCTCGGGCGCCAGCCCGGGCGTCAGAATCGGCCCGGGAGGCCCCTGGGCGCCGGAAGCAGAAATTAAGCATTTTCAAAAAAAATATGTGTCTTAGAATGGCCTTTTTTCGGCGCCGCCTCGGAACCCGATTTTCCGGGGGCGGCCAGAACCGGCTCCAGACCCAGCGGCCCGCGCGCCGTTCCTGGCGCCGGCTCGGGCGTGCAGCCCAGGCGCCGGCGGAAATGAGGCCAGCGCTGCAGCGGGAGCACGATTCGGAACGAGCGAGGCCCAAAACTGAGGCCGGCGCCTGAGCGAGAGCAGCATTTTGGAAAAAAATGCCGGCGAAAACCTAACTCCGGGGAAACCTGTGTGTAAAAAAACAGTACGGGGGGGGGGGGGGGGGGCGAACACTCCCAAGACGTCATCAGGGGGAGAGGGAGAGTAGTATTCACATTGAGTAATTGTGGAGGAGGAGGAGGAGAAGGAGGAGGAGGTGAAGGAGGAGGAGGAGGAAGAGGAGGAGGGAGGAGGCGGGTTCCGAGGGTTCCGATTACACGGCTGGTGACAGACAGCCCTGGGACGCAGCCCGACGCGGCCCTACCTATGCAGGACCGCAGCCCCAAGCCCGATGGCTCGGCATTCCGAGGAAGATCCAGCGTGCGACGAGGGACGCCAGAGACCCGCCCAATGGCAGCCAGAACGAGGGGAACCAGCACAGCGACGAGGAGCGCCAGCCCCGAAAACACCTCCCGACGGAGGCCGGTCGCCTAAACCCTTCGGAGAAACCCTCCAGGGAGGGGCGGGGGGGGACATTCTGAGAAGCCCTCTCACAGGCTCTGAGAACCCGTCCCCCCCGCGTGCCCTTCTCGCAAGGCCGCCGCCATGGCGCCACCCCAGCCCTCTTGCGCGCCGCCCACGCTCCGACCCCCTCCGCCCTGCAGCCCACCCAAGCTGCTCGGGTTGAGAAGAAAGGAGCCGACAGCATGCCACAGAAGCCACCGACGTGACGAGAAAGCCAGACAGACCGAACGCTGCGTAAAGACACACCTTGATGAGACACTCCAAGTAAGCAGTGATCCCCCCTCTCCCGCGGATCGCCGCGCGGTACGCCTCTCCCACAAGAAGAGGTGCCCCCGTACCGATCCCTCGGGCCGTGCGCGCGCGCTGTCGAGGCGGAGTACCCCGCCCTGAGCACGCGCCCTCGCGCCGATCGCACATGCCCGGCCTCAGGCCGAGGGCGCCTCCCCGCTAGCGACCTCAGGACGCCCGCATTGGGCCGGCCGACCCCTGCACCGATCACCCTGGGGCCCTTGGGGCCCGTGGCCTCGGGCAGAGTGCCCTCCGGCAACCAGAGACCACGCGCCCTCGCCTCGGCGTCCGGCCGCACACGCCGGGGCGCCGCCCGCACTCCTCCGGCCGCCCTGAGCACGCGCCCTCGCCCTGGCATCCGCCCGGCCGCCCGTGCGTGCCCGGACCCAGGCTGCGGCGCCTCCCCGCTCACGCCCCGCCGCCCGCACCAGGCGGCCCCCCGCACCGACACCGTGTCCGTGGGCTCTGGCGGCGTGCCCTTCGGCCGCGTGGAGCCACGCGCTCCCGCCTCAGCCTCCAGGCCGCGCTCCCCGCCGCTCGCTCGGGGCGTTGACCCCCTCATCTCGCCCGCCCTGCAGGTCCCAAGACTGACGTCCGATGCCCGCTCATATGAGGAGACACGCCATTCGCGCCTTCAGCACGCAGTGGAGTGCCCCAAGGCACACATACATGAGAGTGCCATATAGGATTGTGGGACGTTTTCTGGGCCGGAACTCCTGGGCGTTCCTGGGCGCTCCCGAACGCTTGCGACGCTTGCCGCGTGGGCCTCGGGGAAGCCAGAACGGCTCAAACCGACCCCAATGTAGCCAAAGGATATGCAAAGAAATGCTAAACGAGGCGTGGCAATCCTCGGCAGCCCCAAGGGACCGTTCTGGGGCTCAATTGGGGGCCCCTTGTGCCGTCTTGGAGACCAGTCCACCAGACAAACTCATTGAAAAAGCAATGGGCGTTGCGTGAGCTCTGCATATTATGCATTCCTGTCGTCAAAGCGTCCCAAGAGGAGCTCCGAGGCCCCCAAGGGCCCAGGAGGCTCCCAGGAGAGCCCCAAAAGCGTCTCCAACTGCCGGTTGGAACCCTCCACCTTTCGGCACCTCGCCGACCACGCGGCCGGCTCGCCGCCAGCGCCTTCCAGCCCCGGCGGCGAGCCGGGGAGCCCTCTGGCCCCGCAGAGACCACGCGGTTCTCGTTCGGCTTCTGCAGGCCTGCTCTCTGCCGCTCTCCGCTGCTCTCTGCTGGCCCATGTATCGGGCCGCAGGAGGCCCAAAAGTGACGACGGTCACCGGCATGCCGAGGACCGCCTCGGATAGCTGACAAGAAGTGCGGGCCCCCTGGGGAGGGGCCCCCGCTCGAGGCGTCCTCGCGACAGACTCACAGACGAGGCTCGCGCTCGGCGGCTCCCACTGGGGACTTCCTCACGACTCATTCACGGACGAGGCTCCCGCTCGAGACTTCCTCTTGACGCAGGCATCGAGAGCCCAAAAGTCATGACAGTTCAGAGTATGCGGAAAACCGCCTCGGATTACCAACACATGAAGTGCGGGCCCCACAGGGAACACCTCAAGCTCGAGACTTCCTCGCCACTCGCTCGAGACAATTACAGGTATGCCAGCAACCACCTCGGCTCACCAGCGTAAAGTGCCGGCCCCATGCGGAGAGGGCTTCAGCTCGAGACTTCCTCCTGCCTCAGGCATCAGGAATCCAAAAATGACGACAGCCACCGGCATGCCGATGTCCGCCTCGAATTACCAAAATGAAGTGCGAGCCCCACAGAAAGGGGGCGTTCGCTCGAGACTCCCTCTCGATTCACTCACAGTCAGACTCCAGCTCGATACTTCCTCCTGCCTCAGGCATCCGGAGCCCAAAACTGACGACAGTTACTGGTTTGCCGAAGACCGCCTCGGATGACTTGCAAGAAATGCAGGCCCCCTAGGGAGGGGGCTCCCGCTGGAGACTTCCTCGCAACTCACTCACAGACGAGGACCCGCTTGAGACTTCTTCCTGATTTGCAGGCATCAGAAGCTTCAAAGTGACGACAATTACAAGTATGCAGATGGCCGCCTCGGATCACTAACATGAAATGCGGACCCCATCAGCAAGGTGCTCCTGGTCGAGACTCCCGGGCGATTCACTCACAGACGAGGCTCCCGCTCGAGATGTACTCTTCACGGCATGGAGTGAGAGACCTTATGATGGCAGGTGGTAATGATGGTGATTGTGATGCTGCTGCTGATGATAGTGATAATGATGATGGTGATGGTGATGGTGATGGTGATGGTGATGGTGATGGTGATGGTGATGGTGATGGTGATTGTGATGATGGTGATGATGATGATGATGATGACGACATGGATGTTCGTTATGATCAGATGACGGTTATAGTATCGGCAATGACAGTGGTGGTGATAGAGATGACGATGTTGATAATGATGGTGATGATGGTGGTGCTGGTAATGATGACGATGATGGTAATGGTGGTGACGATGATTATGATGGTGATGATGACGATGATGGTGGTGATGGTGATGAATCTGTGGGGGTGATGCTGCTCCTGTTCGTGCGGGCGGACGTCCAGGGGAAACAAAAACCCGACGTAGGATGTGGGAAACATGCTAGTCCTCGTCGTCATCACCACCACAGCCATCATCATCATCACCACCATCGTGATCATCCTCATCATGATCATGATCACCACAACCACCACGACCATCATCACCATCATCACCATCATCAGCATCGTCACCATCATCAGCATCATCATCAGCAGCAGCACCTGCATCTACATACGCATCTGCATATGCATCTCAATCGGCATCTGCATCTGCATCATCATCATCATCACATCGTCGTCGTCGCCATCACAATCGTAATCAGCACCATCACCACCATGCTCACCAGCATCAGCACCAGCAGCATCATCGTCATCGTAAGCATCGTCGTCAGCAGCATCATGAGCGACATCGCACATCGTCAGATCACAATCATCATCAGCAGCATCATCATAATCATCATCAGCAGCATCATCATTATCATCATTATTGTCATTAACATCATCACCAGCAGCAGCATCAGCAGCATGATCATCATCATCATCATAATCATCATCATCATCATCATCATCATCATCATCATCATCATCATCATCATCATCACAACCGACATCATCGTCATCACCATCATCATCAGAATGACCATCATCAACATAATCAACATCGTCATCATATGCATCATCATCATCATCATCATCATCATCATCATCATCATCATCATCATCATCATCATCATCATCATCATCACCACCATCATCACCAGCAGCAGCAGCATCGTACTCTCTGTCGCCTCCCTGACCTCTCCTGCACTGGGTCTTCTGACCGGGAGTCTGGGGCGGGTCCAGCCGTGGCCAAGAGGACGTGCTGGGAGGCCCAGAGAGGCAGAACACACTCCGAAACCTCGAACCTCGAAGTTCAATCCTCCCTTCTCCTCCTCCCTCCTCCGCCTCCTCCTCCTCCTCCTCCTCCTCCTCCCTCCTCCTCCTATGTTATCCTCCTCGGCCTAGGTATCCCCCCTCCTCCTCCAGCGCCGACCGCGGAGGAGGTTCTCGTTGAGGTCGTAGTCGTCGAACGACTCGAAGACCGGGTACTCCTCAGCGCCGGTGACGGTGATGCCCTCGGACATCCTGCGAAGATGGCCGGTCCCTCCTCCTCGTCCTCCAACCCCTCCTCCTGCCTCATCCCACCTCCCTCCCAACTGTTCCCTGTGGAATGCCACAGTCAAGCTCCGACAGAACCGAATGCCCGCTGCCATCTCCGCCTCTTCCCTCCTACCCCTCTTCTCTCCTCCCTCCGTCCCCCTCCCCCGACAACTCCTCCTCCCTCTCCTCCACCTTATCCCTTCCCTCCCCTCCTCCTCCTCAACCTGATCCTCCCGCCTCATCACCGCCAGAGCGAGAAGCAGCAAGCAGGCTCATCGCAGCAAGGAGTCACTTTCATCAGCAAGTGCAGGAGCAGGACCATCAAACCTCAGACCGTGCGACCAGGTGATCAATTTTCGTAGAAGGAGTGGCTTGGTCGCTCGTCGAATCTGAATACCAGCGCTACACAGCAGCTCAAGATTCTGGCACCGCACAGTCAGAATCGCCAAGAAGAGCCAACCACGATTTACAAAAAGCTGCGAGAGCGGACGGAAACGCAGGGCGCCGTGACTGGTTCGCGTCAAACTATCAAGACGCCGCATGTTTCCCTACGTACCAATAGTGGTCACTGGCAACGAGACCACTCAGCATCAAAATTCGCCGGCCCAACGGGCCAGAGGCGTGCTAAGATCTCCGGTAACTACTTTGACAATATTTCTAGTTCGCGCGCGCGGGGCGGCCCCTGGGGGCCGGGTCCCGGGCGATCCCCAGGGGGGAGGCCATTTTTCGCCACCCCTCACAGGGATCGTGGCCTCCGAGGGGGTGGCTGCAATCGACTACCCCCCCTCCCGCCCCAAGGGGCCCCCAAGAGCCCCCCAAGAGGCCCCAGGGGAGCCCAAGACGCCGCCAAGGAGCCCCAGACGCTCCCAAGAAGCCCCCAAGAGGCCCCCAAGAGGGCCCCAAAAGGCCCCAAATAGCGCCCCAGGGCTGGCGGAATGAGCGAAGCGATTAATAAGAGTATGGATTCGAGGCAGGAGCATTGGGTGCAGTCTTCAGCCCCCCCCTCCTCCTCCTCCTCATCCTCCTCCTGCTCTTCCTCCTCCTCCTTCTCCTCCTCCTCTCCTTCGTCCCTGTCCTTACCCCTCCCTAGCAAACTCCCGCCCACCTTCCCACCCACCCTCCCTCCTACTACTTCCTCCTCCCTCTTCCCTCCTCCATCCTTCCTCTCCTTCCTCCTCCTCATCCTGTTATTATTCTTATGATTCGTAGAAGTTATTGCGTTTCTTCTTACGAGTCTCAGTAGTGCTATTATTACTGGTACCACTAGTAGTACTAGTATTCGTATTATGATGCCAGATAAAACCCAATCAGAATGTTTGTGGGGCTATGGGGCTTTAGGGCTTTAGGGCTATGGGGCTATAGGGCTATAGGGCGATGTGGCCATAGGGATATAGGGTTAGAAGCCTTTAGGGCTATGGGGCTATAGGGCTACAGGGCTGTAGGGCTATAGGGCTATAAGGCTATTCGGGCTACAGGGCTATAGGGCTATATACGGCTATAGGGCTTTAGGACCATAGGGCTATAGGGCTATAGGGATATAGGGCTCTATAGGGCTATAGGGCTATGGGGCTATGGGGCTATTGGGGCTATTGGGGCTATAGGGCTATAAGGCTATAGGGCTATATGGTTATAGTGCTATAGGGATACAGGGCGATTGGGCCATTGGGCTATAGGGATATAGGGCTATTGGGCTAGGCACCCCCGGGCACTTCTGGGCACCCCGGGCACCCGGGCACCCCTGGGCACCCGGGCACCCCCGGGCACCCCCGGGCACCCGGGCACCCGGCCCCAGCCACCGAAATCGGCCACACACCTGGGCACCCGGGCACCCCCGGGCACCCCCGGGCACCCCCGGGCACCCGGGCACCCGGCCACCGAAATCGGCCGCTCACCTCACCTCAGCTTTATATCCGCTAGGACCCCTACAGAGGCAAGCTCTGATTGAGGAACTATCAATACTACTATGATGGTTCTTCGTATTAGTACAATCATTGCTGGCACTACGACTACTACTACGACTACGACTACGACTACGACTAAAACTACGAGTACAACTACGACTACGACTACGACTACGACTACGACTACGACTACTACTACTACTACTACTACTACTACTACTACTACTACTACTACTACGACTACTACTACTACTACTACTACTACTACTACTACTACTTACTACTAC